AATATAGTGACTTCTCACCATGGAAACAATATTTATCTAAATTGACCTTCCTGGCATGCCTAAACCTGTGCATTGTAATAACAGCTAATGCATTTTTTAATTCCTAGGATGAGTTCTAAGTGCTTTAATTCCATTAACCCAATTAATCCTCACAACATCTATATGAGGCAGGTTCTGTTATCCTCACACATCTCAGATGAGTAAACTAACCATTAAATTTCTTGTAAAATATATCTATAAATGGCAGAGCTGGGATTTGAAGCCAGATAGACAGTTCTAGAACCCACATCCCTAACTTCTCAGTATGGTACAGTCCGTAGAAGAAATACTTGCAGGATACCAAATATGCTGGTGGATAATAGGCTAACAGAAAATAACAATCATAAATGTAAATAAACCCTTTGAAGGATATTTTGAGAATTCACTTGCAGGTGACCATTCAGTAATAAATGGCTATGAGACCCTAACAAAATATACTCCTGCAGTAAAACCTTGAAAAGTGGATGACTCCTTCTGAGCAAGGGTTTTGGAAAACGATTGAAAAAACTCTGCAAATCAATATACAATCATTGACCTGAGTATATGCATTCAGAGACCAGTAACTGAGACATGGGGCTTCTAGAAGTGGTTTGAGAATTACTTAGGAGGCAAAATTTACAGGACACAGTGACTGATGGCTGTGGGCACTGAGATAAATATATTGTCAAAGTTAATAAGGAAGTTTCTGGCTTGAGCAACTGGGTGATGGTCAAAGCACTCACAGGCTTGGAGCACAGGAGGAGCTGCAGAGATGGCAGGGAAGGGCAGGCTGGGTTGAGTGTGTCGACTGTGAGATGTCGGTGAGTCATCCAAATGGAGATGTCCGGTTAAATGTATTTAAGTTTCAAGTTAGAGTTATAGACTAAGTAGATCAAGCAAGGGTTTATCAATACATAAATAGTAATGAAATGCAAATGAAAGAACAAGATCCCCTGTAAATAGTGTCCTCAGTGAGGGGAAAAAAAAGTCAGGACTAAATCAATATTTAAAGGATGTGAAACAGTAAAGGATTTCTCTTGAAAAAGTGAAAGCAAATGATCAGAAAGATGAGAGGAAAACTCATGAAAGATGATGTCCTAGAAATTAAGAAAAGCAAGATTTATTTTGTCAAATGTTTTGTTTTTTTTTTCCTGAAACTTATTAGTACTTTGTAGAAATTTGATGCTGTTGCTAGCAATTTTTATGTGCAACATAAAGTATGGTTCATATGACTTATCAAACCATGAAGCTAAGTCTTAATACCCTTTTCGTGGCCACCATAGCAATATTTCTGGCCAGGTTCTTATAAATCTGACGAGAGAGATTTTATAAAGCATAGCTACATCCTATTTTTTCAGCTTTCCTTTTGAAAATGGTGATAATAGTGGCATTATTAAAAGCATGGGAAATCTTTTCAGTTCTTCATTTTTTGAGACAAGTCTACCTCTGCCTGGAAGAGACTACACACAAAAGAGAACTATTGTTGAGAGTATAGGCAGTACTTATCCCTTTTTCTTCAAATCGTATTGAAAGTTTTTGTTAGTCTTTATGATTTTGCAAAGGATCTATGAAAACTGTAGTCTGTTCTCACCATGGCCATCACCTATCACTTCAGGATGTCAGCAAAGATGGCAATGCTTTGTAAATTCCTTTTCCTTCTCCTGGGCTCAGAAAGAGAAGTGACAACTTCTTTGAATGTAAGTGTTTAGTTTTGATTTTCTGTGCTCTTATCTTTACAGGGCTTTATTCATTCATTTTATAAGTGTCCTTATTTATTTACTTAAATATTTACCAAGAAAAGGATGTTTCAGGCATGCCCCTGGGGCTGAAGACACAGAGATGAACAAAACAGAAACTGTCACTGCACTCACAGAGATTGGCAAAATCTGTGACCAGAGAGGGCTGCCGTATTTCATTGACATTTATTTATATTGGTATCCTAGAAGATAAGAAAATATTGCATAATGTTTTTATTTTTCATCTAAATTTATAAGAGCACCCGAAGGTATTGAATACCCTCGTAAACACTGTAAAGGCTTGGTGTTGGTGATGGTCCTCATGTCTCTAACTCCCTATATCACTCAGTCTTGCTCTTTACCCTCCCGTTGGGGAAAGTAGTTGGGCTACATTGCATAGACTGAAATGTTCTTTGCATTTTAATGTACTATGCTCAAATCCTCTCCCCTTGTGTCAGGAGTGATGGAAAAAGAGGCAACCCAGCCAAGTATAAAAGATGATTGGTTTCCTGGGCTCCACAAGTAAGGTGAAAAATTACTATTGGGGAAAATAGGACAATAAAAACCAGAGGCAGCCAAGCCAAGTACAGACAACTAGGAAGCTTCAGAGTTTGAGTCCTGATGGGCTACTCCAAGTTTCAAACCTGAAATTTATGCCTGGTGAGATCAGACTGAGAAGACAGCAAGGAAGAGTTCAGGATAGAAACAGAGCTACTTGTATAAACACAAGAGAATACTTAGAGCACACATATAGGAAGAGCTAATGCATAGTATGTTGAATGTAAGTGAGAAAAATAAAGTTTACCATGAAGTTATGCTTCCCCCCACCCCCCCGCCCCATAAGTGTCTTTATATTAGTGCTATATTACTGATGGTTAGTGTTGGCAATACCATTCATTCACAGGTTCTATAGGTATCGGATTAAGAAATGCATACACACTTACTGCTAATTCTGGTAGTTGTAAATAGGGACATTGTTCTTTGGTGGAGTTGAGAAAGATCCCGAAATAGGGTTAAGTAGATTGTGTAGTAAGCTCCAGAGATAAACACTCACTAGTTACAAATGGTGTTCTTTGGAGTTGGCTGATGTAGTGGTTCTGACACTGGAGATATCTTTGTTGTACAGCTTATTATAGTTGCTTTTAATCTTTCAGAGCCTTTTTTATTTTTTCCTGGTAGACATACCTTTCTAATGTGTTCCTTTTTATCCTTCAATACTTTAAGAACAATTGTTCATATATCTACAATGTTTAAACAGCAAAAGGCAGTAATACAGAAACTCACACACACCATATTTAATTATTTATTTAAGAATTAGAAAATAGTTGATTATTCAAACAGGTATAATGTACATTTTTTTTTATCAAAAAATTCATTTTGGAGGATACATTTTTTAAAAATTATCTCAGTACACAAAAATAGAAATATTCAAGTAACATTTTAATGCTGAAAATAAGTTAGGCCTTAATAAATTTGTTTTCACAATGTTTTATAGTAGGATACCTTTAACGTGATTGGCTTCATTTTTCATTGCTATCCAGGTTAATTCTGATACAGTATATCAGTTCTTCCATACTTTAATTTCCATTTAATATTGTTCTTGCATTAATTCAAGTTATACTTTAAAAATTCTAGGATGTGATTAAGGATTCTGCCCTCCCTATATTTTAGTAGATTTTACAGATACATATAAGCTTAGATTATTTTCATTAACAAGAGTGAAAATAAGAGAAGAGGACGGGAACAATAGAAAACCAATCAATGTTTTACTTGTATATTGGAGTCAGGTAAGGACACTGGGTGGAACCAAAAAAGTGATTAGAGAATCAGATTTTAAGTATATGGACTTTGAAGACAACTTGTGCTTTTGTAACTTTTCTTCTTATACCTGAGATAGCTTACCAGCCAATCACCATCCAAGTATAACACTCCTCTGTCTACACTTCATGATTAACCAGAAAAAAAAGAAGTAATGCCTTAATAATATACATCCTAAACACTCCAGGTTGCAACTAACAAAGTCTTAGTAACCTAGAAGGCAGACAGAGCAGCAACTGATTTAGGGCCAGGTAACAGATCCCACAGGAAAAAAATAAAAGTGTTGTTGTTGTTTTTAATTGACATGGATTTTAGATTTGGAGCAGCATAACTAAATTTTATTTTGCTTCATTCACATAAAATTCAATATTCTTACTGGTTGTATAACATACATTATTAGAATAGTTTTGGTGACAAAGTAAGATGAACACAAAACTATGGATGATTTTGGAAACAGACCATTTAATGGAATCATTGTTTTATTTTCCAGTTTTCTTTGGTATGCCTTGAAATGTGATTTTAAAAGGCTTGTCCAAGAAGGGAGAAGGGTCGCAACCTCTTGAAATTCACATTTCGTTTGCCATGATAATCACAGCCTTTCCCGCCCCATGTTTCTGTGCTTTCAAATAAATAAAAATTCCATTATTTCAGAAGGCATAGTTCTTTTTTTCAATCTAACTCATTGGGGATATTCTTTCACCTGTGATTATGTCTTTATATTTTTAATCTGCTGCAGTTTTTAGTCAAATAGGATGTTTTCCTGAAATATTAAAAATAAAGATAATTTAGTGTGCTTTTAATGACCACTATAACTTTTCTTTTGAGAGCCATAAAGATTTTTTGAGGTTTATGGTGTGAGTCATATATAGTATATAAGATGTACCTCTCTTGAAAAAAATTTAATAATTTTGGAAACTGAAACATAATAATGATTTATTATATCTCTCTACTATTTTCAAGCCATCTGACTTGAAACACTGAGAATGAGATTTCCCCAAAAGGAAAGTAACATTTAGCTAGGTTAAGTGTCAGGTTGCTAGCATACAGTGTATAAAAGTCAATATGAACCAAGTGGTATTAGCGAACTTCATCTGCACTGCTAGGAGGTTGTTGAACTCAATTACAGAAATGTGCCAAGCTCTATTTGATGCATGACAAGGTTAGGAGACCACAATCAATTAAAAAGAACACATGTAGATCCTATTCTGGGGAAACAGTATTGTTATAGTCCCCTTGTTCGGTTTTTGCTCTTTTTTCTCTGACGTTTCCTCTGAACACAGGAGAACAAAGGTTTTAATAATTGCCCAGTTTCATTTGAAATTGTTTTGTCACCAATATCTAATAGGAAGACCCAAGTTTGTTGTTTTACTTGAATGAAGCCTCAGGTGGCTACAATTAAACATGCTCTAATTTTTTTTTTTCTTGTAGCCAAACCATTTGAAAACGGACAGTATTTGGACATTTATGGAATCACCAGGGACCAGGCTGGAGAATATGAATGTAGTGCAGAAAACGATGTGTCATTCCCGGATGTGAAGAAAGTAAAAATTGTCGTAAACTGTAAGTCCCATCAACTTTTATCAAAACAACCTCAGAGAAAAAATGCAGTCTGAGATTTATGTTGCTGTTTTTAATAGTCTATTGATAAAGACCACCTAATGATGTGAAAAATGCATATATGTTAAAATATTGGTCAAATTGTTTTATGTATCATCAATTATCCCCAATAATCTCATCATCATTCAGTTGAATGTGCAGATGGAAATATTTCCTATATCCCCCAAGTCCCTGCCATTCTAAACGGTGGTATCCCTACCTCTAAAGCACTGCAGACACATGGTGTTTTCGTCATTCTTGGAGCTTTCATCTGTAGCTTGTTTTGACTTAATGTAACTGTGAGACTCCTAATCAAACCTGATGGAAATGAAGTGTGCAGGTCAGTACTCAACAAAGAAAGCAGTTACTGTGCTGCTCCTATTACTTAGGTTATTTAATTTAAAAAACATGGAGAAAAATAAATTTTCTCATAAACATCATTATTAGGAAGTTGATGTAGTGAGAGATATCTGCAGAACTATCAATGTCACTATCCATGCTCTTCCTTTAAATGCATCTCAAACTATTGATGTAAAATATTTTTCATTAACACCCTATTTTATACCTTATGATTTCAACAGCCATAACTGAAATAGTTTTTTAAAATTTATCTTTATTGTTGAAAGGATTACAGATGTTCTTTTTCTTCCCCCATTGACCTCTCCACCTCACACTACCACTCCCTGACTTCAACAGGACAATTGTCTGTGTCCATGGGTTATACATATCTTACCTAATAATAGACAAACATGTAAATTGACCATCCCTCTGCTATGCTCACCAGCCAATCAGGAGAGTATGCAAATTAACCCAGCAAAGATGGAAGTTAATTTGCATGCATAGGCACAGAGTGGCAGAGTGAAAACTGAAGGCTCTGGCCAGAGTGAAGGCCTGGGTCCTGGATGCCCAAGGAAAACTGGTACTGGCAGCCAGGGGAAAGGAAGGCCTATTGCACGAATCTCTTCATGCAACGGGCCTCTAGTATGCATATAAGCTCTTTGATTAATCTCTTCCTGCCTTGCCCCTCTTTCCTCTGAGATTAGTCTGTCTATTCCAAGCTTTCATGTCTTTGGGTCTGCTTTGCTCCTCAGACAGCATGGAGGGACCTGGAGAGTATTATGCTAAGTGAAATAAGACAGTCAGAGAAAGACAAGTATCACATGATCTCACTATCTGATGCAATAGTCTTGACTTTTAAAAATACCCACTTAGTATTTTCCTCAAAAAAATTTGCATTATTTAACCTATTCAAATAAAGTACTTTGAGGGTACTAGTATTTTGCCAAGTGAGTACAAGTTATAGCTTTCAGTTTTTTTATTCTATTTATACATCTTGCTATTGGTGGATATGTTAATAATTAATACAGTATCATACCATAGATCAGAAAAAAAATTCCAAATATATGCCAAAATTTTAGAACAAAGCAGTTTTTTCATATTAACACATATCTTTCCATTTCATGGGCCAAAAATAATTATCTAAATACCCCTGACAGTAGAGCATCTGCCAGGTCAAATCACTGCCATAAAGTAAGATTTGTCAGTGACTAATCTATGCATTTGGGGTTGAACTATTTCTGTGAGACTGAGCAAAGGTGCAGAATTTTTCATATATGTCCTGCAGACAAACTTTAGATTTATCCAAGAAGCTCATTAAAAATGGAAAATTTATGTTTTTCCACATCAACCCTACTGAATCAAAATCCTTGGCGTACACAGCCTGCAGATCTGCATTTGTAATAAGTAGCCATTGAGTCTCATGACTCCAGTTGCAGAGGGCTATTGCTCATCCCTCCTGAACTCTCTAAAATTAGAGGTAAAAAATCATGACTACTAACCATATTTATCTGAGTGTTAGTCTACTGATTTTATTGTTGCAGTGGTAGGAAGAGAAGTAAGAAATAGAACTGCTATGGAAGTAATATATTTAGCATTGAGTACAAAGAAATGAAAAGGTGGGGTAAACTGTTAAATTAGCAAGACACCTAGCCCAGCATGGCATCCCACTCCAAAACCCCAGACCCAGGAGGGATGTCTCCAGTGGGGATGGCATTGAAAATCCAGCTGCTGTAAGGATTCTCATGGCCCATCCTCCATGGAAAATCCACATTTCCCTTCGTACTTACACTTTCTTTCTCATCCTTTTTATCCCGCCGACTTTAGCTCATTGTCACTTATTATTTAATTTGATTCTGTGTTTTACACACACAGGGAGACCTTAGACTAAGGAGGCAGAAATTTGAGAGAAACTGAATTGAAAGATTTAGAGATGACTGACCAAGCAATGAGTCATCATCTATAGGATCTGGGTGGAGAAGAGAATCCTATATAATAAAGAGGTAATATGCAAATTCACCATCACTCCAACACACAAGATGGCCGCCCCATGTGGTCAAAGATGGTCGGCAAGGGAGGGAAGTTGGGGGCGACCAGGCCAGCAGGGGAGGGCAGTTAGGGGTGACCAGGCCAGCAGGGGACGGCAGTTAGGGGGTGATCAGGCTGGCAGGCAGAAGCAGTTAGGGACAATCTGGCAGGCAGACAGGCGAGCATTTAGGAGCCAGCAGTCCTGGATTGTGAGAGGGATGTCCGACTGCCCGTTTAGGCCCGATCGGCAGTCGGACATCCCTCGAGGAGTCCCAGATTGGAGAGGGTGCAGGCTGGGCTGAAGGACACACACACACCCCTGCACGAATTTTGTCCACCAGGCCTCTAGTCCTTATATAAAACAGAAGGACAGAAACTGGGGACACAAGATGCTGAGAACAGTGAAGGACCTGCCACAGTTTCATGTACATTGGCAGGAGACAGAGAGAAAGGACAGTTTATTACTCATAGCAACAGCAGTAGGCAGAGTATTGTCATCTTGCAGCAGTCCCATAGGCACCACTCAGGGTGATACAATGAGGGCTGGGTGACACCTACATGCCCAGTTTATGTCATAGCTGAGGTTGCCTGAGCTTAGGGAACTTGGTATGTGTTTTGTGTTTTTTGTTTGTTTGTTTGTTTGTTTTTTATAATGGCAGCAAGCAAACCTGCCCTTTACCACAGAGGGAGCAATTATCTTTATTATACTGGACTGTAAACAAACCTGCCCTTTGCTCCATAAGGAGAGCTACTTCTTCTGTCTTTGGAGACTGTTCGCTCTTACACACATTTTTGAAAAGACAGCTGGGAACAAAAGCTGTCAGTGCCTCTGCTCACAAGACATGCAGAAACACAAGAGGCCCCTGGGTAATTGTTTTCCAGCACAGGATGGGAGCAGGAAAGTTTGAAGCAGGGCCTGGAGACATTTCATCAGCAGAAAAGTGTGCTTCAGGGCCTTTCTAGCGTGTCAGACACCTAAGGATAGGTAAGAAAGAAGACTTTGTTAACCAACTTTACCTTCAGAAGGGAAACAGGAAAGAAAAAGGGAAAGTTAGAATAAAAGTAAAAGAGGTTGCTTTTTAAAATCAGAACACAAGAAAATTTTTTTATTTTTTAAAGAACTAATTTCAGTTAAATTATAGTCAGTCCTAAGTGCAAGTCATGGTACACACATGATATTAACATAGCTCACACTAAAAAAATGGACCCAATAGAACTTTTAATAATTTCAAACAATCAACTTTGTCTTCTGCTCCTTCCAAAATTATACTTAAGATAGCCTACCTTTTCCTAAATGTACCATGAAGAATTGTATATAATACTGATTGATCAATTGCATTCATATCTATTGAATCAGTATTTAATGTAAGAGATGAGTTCTGTTCAGATTTCTGGTCAAGACCTAAATTTTGCCTTTGTTTGGAATAGTTACGTCACACATATACCAATGATGTCTAAGTCATGTAGGTGTGTGAGTGTATGTGTGTAGTTGTTCCTAGTTATGAGGAGGCTTGAAAAGTGTTAGTTTTATGAACTTATAAGTCAAAAAATTGAGCACTATCGAAGGATTTTACTGGGATGATTTCCCAAAGGAAATGAGCCAAGCCCTACTGAGCAAACTCTATTTTGTCAATGATCACACTTGAGTAGAGTGGTTAATGTTACCAGCACAGAACTGCTCATCCCCAGACAGCCCCAAGAGTCCCTGAGGATAGAATTGTGCCAGGTTCAAGGCAGCCATCCTGTTCATCGTTATTAATCAATATCGATTGTGCTTCTATAACTGCAGTCGCTTTGTGACATAATTTGAAGAGAACTTCTGTCCTTTTCCCCAAATGGGGTTCAAGATGAAATATAATAATTTTTATAAGCTCTAATAAACTTAGTTATGTGTTAAGTCAATTTGAGAAAGAGATTTAGGTTCCTTGCAAGTTAGAGATGTTTGATATTAACTATTTATCTAATACTTCTGCCATATTCACTGTATTATAAAACACACACATATAATAAAAATAACATCGTATTTGCCATATAAAAAATAACATCATATTTGACACTCTGTTATGTGAGTTTCTATTCAATTCAATCAAACAGCTGTGTAGTGAAATGATTGGTATAATTGATGTATTTTGTATAGATTGCACTAGTTAGTTGATTTAATAAAACGGCTAATTTTGAGTTATTTACAGATTTTTTAGGTGACTATTCTTTGTCTTGATCTGTATTTCATTATAATTATATATAAAAATGTCTTCATACATGCACTTAACATATGTATATATTTCATGAATTTTTTTAAAAACACCTAAATAATAAAAATGAATTATGGCAGTATGTTAATTAAACCTTGAAAGATTAATACACATACACATAGCAAGAGAGAGACAATTTGGAACCAGTTGGTAGGCTAAGCCAGAGGGAGCTAGTGGATTAGAGTTGGACAGTTTCTCTGTTCTTTTTGCATTTGCATTCCATCCCAGAAGCAGCCTAGAGGATACTATTTTTATCATAGCTCCACAATTTTTATTGTTAAACACACACACACACACACACACACACACACACACACACACACACACACACACACTGGAAGAATGAAT